TATTTGTTTTTAGTACATTTTAAGTTACAGCCCTTTGTTTTCAGTTGGAGTCTTAGTAACTTTAAGTGACAATTTAATTTAAAAACATAAACAGTATTTTCTTTTATATAAGGTAATGAACAGTTTAATATATACTGTACATCCTGGTCTCTGATTTGCTTTAGTTCCAATAAATCGTAATATTGTAACCATTTTTTTGGAGGGGGGGCACTGGCCCCTGTTGCCCCCCCCTAGAAACGCCCCTGCCTCTACTCCTCCGAGTCTGTCCCACAGTCCGCCCGGGGATGTGAGGACAGCGTGAGAACACTGACAGGGAGGCTTGTTTTCTTCATAGAGCAAATGGCGGTCAATATTAACAACAAAGGAGCTAAAACGCTTAATAACCTTCATTAATTGTTGGAGAAAGAAGAACATAAGATAGATTGATAAAGACGAAGCTGTTTAACGGGCAGCGGAGCCGCTGTGTGTAGAGAGTAACTGCCAGTAAATGCCGCCCCGTAGGCAGCATCAAGCTAGCAAATCCGGCATTAGCCGAACATCAACAGGTGTATATAGAAAATATGATTATCCTGAGCTAATTTACTGAATCAACCAACTCACATCTCCTTTCTTTCTTTTCACCCAAGCACTAATCTGCTGCTGCTGTTGGCGTGTCATTGTTTTTTTCTGTCACAACCGCAGTAGGCTACCTGATCATCATTCATTGGGCTATTTATAGTTTATGCACGCGACGTTCCTAGTCGCATGCGCGCGCAGCCACAGAGGCAGGCTGTCAGTGTCCAGCTCCTCCGTGGCGATGACGGGCAGTCTGCGGTTAAAAATAAACACATTTGAAAGCGGGGGGGACACATTCGGGATTTGGAAAAGTGGGGGGGACATGTCCCCTCTGTCCCAGTGGAAATTACGCCCATGGTAGTGACAGTAGCCGATCAGTTAGTCAGTGATGTTTTTATATCCTCCGCCCCATGGGGCTTTCCTTAGCAAAAAAACAAAGTATTAAAAACAAAGCTAAATTCTTGTTTCAAGGGCTGAAAACGGTTCTAGTCTCTTTTAAATTGTTATTATTCTGCATAACAGCAAACCGTCCCTGGTGGTCTAGTGGTTAGGATTCGGCGCTCTCACCGCCGCGGCCCGGGTTCGATTCCCGGTCAGGGAACTACACTTTTGCTGTTTTATTTAGGAATACATAATTTTGTATTGTACTTTTATAGCTGTGTCTAGTTGTAAATAAAGAACGTACTTCCAGGTATATGCTTCATTTAGGAATACTAATTTCTCAAAATTGTTTTAATTTTGATGTAATTTTTGACGTTTTCTGTTTCTAAATTAGCAACCTATAGATTAAGTAGTAGTTTTCAAGGCAAGACAGAACAATATCCAAATAACTTGAGAAACCTCTTAAATTCAATTACAGGTGAAATGAAATGAAAGTCAATGTACTAGTGTCCAGTTCAACAAATGTGTAAAATTATTTGGAAATATCATGGCACAAGTCGCGACCTTCTCGATATCTTTTTAGAAAATGAACATTTGATTAATTTCCCATTGTCTTAGTCTTACTCTATAGTCTTTACTGCATTTTTTTTTAAAGCTAAGACATATTATGATTTTGCAGTGTATTTATCAAAAAATTACAAATTAAATAACAGGAAGAAGCCTAATGTTTCCTGAAGCCTTGTAAAGTGTGTGACGACATGCTTCTTCTTTCCACAGAAATGTTTCACTATCTTCAGTCATCGAGAGCACTGTTAGAGTGGAGGGACAGCGGGAGGTAACGGTTTCCTATTACTACTATTTTCCACATTGTACTGTAGATGGATTGTTTAAAATTGTATTCAAGAAAGCTTACACCTGCTAAGCATGGGTTTTCCCTTTATATGTGCAGTCTATGGTTTATCACTTTTCAGAGAGAAAAGTTTAGCAGGGTGAAAAAAAACCAAAGCATTGATAACGCTTTCTTTCATGTGGAAAATGTAAAAGCTTTTGTCGGCAGTTGAAATGTAATTTAAATATTAAGATTCATATGAAGAAAGCTGTTTCTTTCAATTTGATTACACGGCATAAAGATGTCTTACTGCCAGTCACTAAATGTAAGCACTTCAAAAGGGGAAGTATAAACAGGCACTGTACACTCAGGATTATGGGGTAATTTCTTTCTGTTTGTGTGTGTGTGTGTGTGTGTGTGTGTGTGTGTGTGTGTGTGTGTGTGTGTGTGTGTGTGTGTGCGCGCGTGTGTGTCTGTTTGTCTGGAACCCTTAGGTATGCTATGAAGCTGTTTCCTGCACATCCAATACTTTGGTCCAGTTTGCTGGTTTTGTTTGCCTTACAAATTGGTAGGTAACACGCACGCACGCACGCTTGACGAACACACACACACACACACACACACACACACACACACACACACACACACACACACACACACACACACACACACACACACACACACACACACAAAAATGACATTCCCAGAACACATGAGCATATCTTCCCTTCTAAAAGGGAAGGTGGTGGCGAAGTCGATAGAGACTTGGCTTTGCAACTGGAAGGTCACCAGTTCAAGTCCCGGCAAGACCAAGTGCTACCGAGGTGTCCCTGAGCAAGGCACCGTTCCCTACACTGCTCCCCGGGCGCCGTACATAATGGCAGCCTACTGCTCCTAACACTAGGATGGGTCAAATGCAGAGAAACAATTTCCCCAAGGGGATTAATAAAGTATATCAAACAAAATCAAACAAAGGGTTAAATTAATAATCTTTTTTCTCAAAGTAATGATAAACCCATGAGTTGGATGTAGAAAAGTCAGAATCAATATAGATGTTTTTTATTTTAAAGAAAATTCAGATTGAACATGGTAAAAAAGTGTAAATTATAGTGTCCGTCCAAAAAATATGTTGTACTTATAGTGAAAACTAACCTTGGATGATGGGTTGGTAGACTAAAAGCTTTAGGAATCCAAAGTACAACAGATAATAAGTACCCTGTATCAAGATTGATGCAAAGCAAGTGATATTTGACCTTATTAGACAGATTTAACAAAGAAAACCTCTTCTGGGGCCATTTGGGTGGATTTTCCATTTATTTGGCACCCCTTCTTCGATTTTGACATGTGACATCTCTTTCTGACCGTTAGAGCCAATAGAATCGAAGGGAAGTCATCCCGCACACACACTCATGTTAAAAAAAAAGAGGATTTATTGGCTTCCTCTAATTCTTCCTAAATCACGTAAAATACCCAAAAATGTGGATTAATTAAGCATGGTGTACTTTGAAGAAAATATGCTTTCATATTTTGTATAATCTGAATGGAAATGCATTGATGCTTACATTGGACCCCCTCCCCACGTGCTAAAACTCCAAATGTATTTACTCCTTTAATAGAGGCTGAAGCTGACATTTCAGATGTCTGTCAGGATACAATGGCTTCTGATGACGTGAGAATCAATGTTTTTTTATATTTATATTGTCCAAAGGTCACGCAGTCACATAAAAGCCACCCACTTTAATGCAGATGTATTTTCTGATTTCTATATTCTGTTCTTGCTGTTTGTGGTACTTTTTTCAGATCGATGTACAGAGTTCTTCAGTGCTGGGGCCTCATGTAGAGATGGACAATATATATGAGAAGGTTTACTGCCTCCTTTACCCAACAAATATACTCAACTGCTCCTGGTCATTTAACACCTTACAGCAGGATACTCAGCTCTTTGTCAACATCAGGTATTTAAAAAAATTATACATTACACATATGGCATAGAGTATTTATGAATAATTAAAGGAATACTTACATCCCTTACATTCTCTTTCCCTCTGTTTTCATGCAGCATCTGTGATGGTGACAAATCAGTTCAGTTTCCTGACCTGTCGTCTGAGGAGAAAGTCGGATCAAGGTCTTTGGCTCTGCATGATCACAAGATGTCACTTTTAATCCTACACTTCAACATCACCCTGTACGACAAGTGGACAGTCTACGCCTCCAAATACGACCTCAACATGCTAGGTAATACAAGACAAACTCTCATTGAGCCCTTGAGTAGGGGAAACAGGGTAGGTTTATCTCACTTCTTGGGGTCAAAAGGTAACCAATAGGTAAATATCACGACGAAATAAACTTGATAATGGAGTGACAGGAATTTTGGTGTCCTACGTCAAAATAATAAAACAATTCTTACCATATAAAAAGAGAGGGGAAAGCTATAGTTGATTTTTTTCACTGGCTAGTAACATATGGTTGTAAGCTTAGTTTCTGCTAGCAGAAATCCGCAGTTCCGCCTGCATTTTTTATAATTATTTTACTAATGTTGTGGTTGTGTTTGCCACAGAGGTTCTGTCTCCACCCCAAAACATCTCTGCATCAATCAAAGATGGAGGTCTATTGGTGAAATGGGGTCTGCCCCACAGTAGAGCCGACAACGACCCCTTCTGCTTTGAATACCAGCTGGACATGGGTGACCAGGTACAGTATACATGTGTGGATATGGATGTCAATTATTCAATAATGTAGGTTACGCTTCCTATGATGCCTTATAATGCATTGTAAACATACTTCTTATACACAATAATGCTTATATCACTGGTTGATTATCAAAATAAACATTTTCTCCATTGAGCTACACCAGAATGCATTCTACCTACAAGGATACAACCTGTTTTAGCAAAAGCGCAAATTATATCCAATAAAGCGTTTTCTCTACCTATCTCACTAAAATCCCTAAGAGAGCAGCACCTGCAGTGTCAATTCTTTCTGTCACATAATAAGGCAACAGGTGCTTTATTATGTGACAGAGGATGTTTATTAATCAGGTCAGTAGACCTCCTCAGTACGTTTTGAATGATCTGAGTGGGTGAGAGAGCGCACTGAACACAGCTTCAGACCCTGTCACTTAGTTTATGCTTGTGTAATAGAAAATGGCATAACAAATGGCATAAATTCAGATTTATACTTTATTGTTCTTTATTCTGCTTGTTTTGGAGGTCTTCTTCTTCTTCTTACATTTTGTATGAATTCTACCATTAGGTTATGTTTTGGCTTGGTTTTTCCGTCTGTCTGTCAACAGGATTAGGAGGGAATCAGACGCCACTTTGTTTACTTCAGTAACATAGTGACATCACTATGTAACACTCAAGATTCTATTGGTTAGCGCTCAACACTTGTACGTGACAGGCTAAGGGGCGGGACATCTCTTAGCAGTTTGACCAATCACAACAGAGCCGGCCAGCTAACCAATCAGAGCAGACTGGGCTCTGGTTTCAGACAGAGGGTGAAAAGAGATGCTGCAGCACAGGCAGTATGAGGAAAATAAAGAGCTTTTTGAACATTAAAGCATGTAAACATGTCACAGTAGAGGCACAGAATACAAAAATTATCCTGAAAATCAGCATAATATGCCCTTTTAAAGGCAAACAATGAACACGTAAAGTTACTTCTAATTCAAATATATTACATTCTATAAAATAATATAATGTATTGCAAATGTATGAATCATAATACACCATGACATTTGACGTAAAAGGTTAGTGAGTGACAATTACATAAAGTATTATAACACTAGATCTTATAAGTCAATATAAAATACTTTATCGTGAGTAGATTATTGTCCTTTCGAAAATAATAAGATTGCTTCGCGTCGGGCCGAACCACGCCCCTTAGCTGTGATATAATGAGCATATACCACGGCCTGTCGTGAGCTATTGCTTAATTATAAAACTGACAAGTTAAATCAAGCAATCTGATTGGTCGATAGCGTTTTTGCGGACCTCTTTGATTACAGATTTGAAAACATCGTTGCTTGCTTTAAAAGTATACCGTTGGGCTGCTTTCTTGTTCCACCCCAACGGTATACTGTTTTTCTCAGACACGGAGGGATACTGACTTGTTGTGAAAAGAAAAACTTACAATTCTACCCGTGGTATACGCTCAGTATATCACGGCTAAGAACCAATCAGATTGCTTGATTTGACGTGTCCGTTTTCTAACAACAAATAAGTATGTTTATAATGCATTATAGGGCATCTTAATAAATGTTAATATATTTGAGCTTTAAGTGCATTCTTTTGTTGATGCTTTATTTTCTTTTAAATAGGAAACACCCAAAGAGTTGAGTGAGCAGCTGTCCTATAGAGAGCCCAAAGTAGATCCCTCCTCCACCTACAGAGTGAGGATGAGGACAAGGAAGGGCAGCCAATGTGTGGAATTTTCTCAATGGAGTGAATGGAGCCATGCACTCAGTGAGTAGGGCTTTTTACATCTTTAAATCATCCCCATCCATCGACACACAAGTTTAATTTGTGTCATCTGTATGTGTGTATGTGTGATTGTAGCTGTGGAACAGTCCAAACTCAACAATCTAGTGATCGTCTCAATTTCACTTGGAATACCCATGATCCTCCTGGCTGTGCTGCTGCTGCTGCGCCATCAGAGGTACTGTTTCTGTCTCCCGCTGAATAACTAGCATGATGATTGGTGTGTGAGACGCACACATTTGTACAGCTCCTGAGAGACTATTTTATATTATTTGTATTCTGCCTCAGTTTTCTGTTTCTAATGTGACAACAGACACTCTGTCGTGTCTTCTAAATGTTAAACTGAGGTTACCTACTGTAACCCCAGTTTCTATGAGTAAATGGCGCAGCCCTCTAAGGCTATAGGGTAATCCCCCTGCGCCCCCGCGCAGCACTGAAACACTTGTAGTCCACGCCCACCCGCAAGGTGGGCCCCACCCTCGGGCCTCCTTCCGGTATAAATAGGAAGGCGGCCCGGCAATCTGCTCCCATACAACATAACT